CCTACAGAAGTAAATAATGTCACAGATACACATAAAATATTTTGAGCTTAAGCCCAACAGTTTAAGCTCAACAGTTTAAGCTTCCAAATATTTACAAGTTCCAATTTTGCTAGAAATCTAGATCTACATGTAATTTTCTTCATTTCCACACAGTTTTGCTATCCACTATGACAGCTGAAGACATGTGACTGCTGTTGTACCTTTCAACTTTAAAGATCTGAAAGACAGTCTGTGAAGACACATGAACAGCCAAAGCTGAAGTTACAGTCAGCAATAAAAAATAAAAAATATTTAAAAAAAAAAAAATCACAGATTGCACAGCAGAGTCAAAATTGGCACCAAGTAAAACACATAAAACATCAATATTTAGTGGGAAGACTAAAGGTGTGGTACTAATCGTGATTAGAGAAGTTTACGTTTGCCAGCAAAGAAAACACTGCCCTTCATACAGCTTGTGCTCAGTTACTTCAGTTATCTGGGCACTACGCATCATAGTAAGCGGACAGTGCAGCTCAGCATGACTGTATTTTAAATCAAATGAGGTTTAAAAACTGATATTCAATATACCTGGTTTTAATCTTTAATGTTAACATTTTTATTCAATTTGGAATAACTACCTCGCTTTTTCTGAGAATTAAGGAATTGCTCAGACCTTCTAGGAATTACACGTTTAGATTACTAAAGAAACACACATGTATGACACAAAGCTAGAAAAGGGCTTCCATTTGAGCTGCACTGCACTGTTCTAAAGAAAAAAGCATTTTTTCTCCATGGTGCAATCCCTTAACTGTATGTATCAGACATTCTCAGCACTGGTATCTGCACCTTGCTGAAATCCACAATATCTAAAATGGTCCTAAGAAATGTCTCATACACCACATGAGAAAAGGACAAAACTGCAGTCAGTGAGGTAAGGACACACAAACACCATCAATCAGAGTTTGCTTAGGAAACAAGGCAGCGTTCCTGCAGAACCAACCCTTAAGTCTAAGTCTGCAATATTCCTAGTTCTGCAGTTAAATCCGCAGCGGTTTCCCCTACATTATACTAAGTATAGGTTTGAAACAATCAAACCAGCAATTCGTGAGAACCTAATCCTGCCTCCGCTAAACTTCTTGGCCAGGCTCCTCCTGGCTTCTATGGAGCATGGGACCGCATCCGCAACGCAAGACCTACAAAATGTCTACAACTCATAGTAATAACTGCTGCAGGCCCTATCCTGCAAACATTTCTACAGGTCCACTGGTTTCAGCAGAGTTGAAAAAGGACTGCCCTTGAAACAGTGAGAATTTCAGCACATAATTCCTACCTTCAAATGTTTGAAGAACAAATACGTTTGTTCCTCAGATTATTCTCCAGACAATAATGCCATTAATTCTTTAAAATGCAGTAATTAGCAGCATCACCCTTTGTGAATCTAAGCAATCAAAATACGTGTGATAACCAGTTTTTAAATTAAATTACATAACCCATTTGAAACATGACCAAGCAAGCTTATATGACATTATATCAGACACAATTCCTATTAATGTTATTAATGCTGTTTAGCACTAGAAAAAATGTGCATTTCCATATTTATTTGTTAACTGGAAATAATTCCCACGGGCATGATGAGGAATAAAATAGGAAAACATTTCCTAAGCGCACCATAACTGCGCTCTCTGAAAGCCAAAACCTGAGCATCCTCCCACAGTACACACACAACATCAGGCAAGCATATAAAGAGCTTTAAAATAAATTTTAGTTGGTTTTGCGTACTTTGCATAATTTTATTTTTTATTTTAATGCCCTGGGATGAAAATAGGAATCTGAAGGAGAGTTAAACACTACCTTTGCTAATTTATATAGTGTTAATGCTGTCTTCCAACAGCCAAGCTCCCTGTGGCTTGCATCATATGTTTTTTGCCTTAAAGTCACTGTACCTGTATCTTTTGTTATCCACTGGCACAATATCCATAGCAATGTAATATTGCTGATGTGGGTCTAAACCTGAGATCTTCACTCTCATTGCGGGAAACATCCGCCTGAACATGGAAAGAGAGAGGTCATTTTTAATATGAAACAGACTGGGGACTGGTTGTTTAGGAAAAGTAACCGCTTCGTGGGATTTTTCTCGTTCTTCCTTTTAGCCTACAGAGTCCTTTTGGACGATTATAGTTACATGGCCATGAAATGGCCTATTCGATATGTCAAAACAGATTTCTAAAGTGCATTTACACGAACAATGCTTCGTATGTTTTGGGATACGCTTTGGGAGTACAGCTATTACCACATCATTTTAACTTTATTGTTAGACAGTAAATCACTTGCGTTTGAGACTTGACTTCAGCAGTATGCTCATTTAAAGCCCGTTTGAGATATTACCTAGAAATCTATTTCTGGAGATGTGCAAACACCGTCTCCACCCAGGCAGACCAATACTTACAGAAATGCAAACTGCCACTGAAGTTTCAACTGGCAGCAGTTCGAGGTGTTATCATTTCTAGAGCAGCAAACGCGAAAGCCAAATCCACGGTGATACAATTCTAGCCCCGCAAGGATGCAGTTATAAAAGGCAGCGTGCCATGCTGCAACCCAACAATATGGTCTTTATTGAGACGGGACTTCCTGTCTGCAACTTACTAAAGGTGAAGTGCAAGAGCTACTCTGTCTTTGAAAGGTATAGTAAAACTTCTTTATTGAAAGCAGAAACGAACCTACGAGGTAATTTCTTAAAAGAAAAAAAAAAGGAAAAAAAAGGAAAAAAAAAACCCCAACCCCACAACAACAACAAACGTTCAAGGTTTAGATTTTCTGCGGGGAAAACGGAGAAGTTAATTGGTGAGGTGGGTTTAACATCAAAATGTGCTTCTTAGCTGACGTTTGGCACGGCTTTTTTCAGGAAAGTTCATTCCTGAAGCTAAAAAAAAACCCAAGAAATGTCCTAGTGATAAGCTGACTGCAAGCTAATGAAAGGTGTTTCTCTGTATTTTATAAATCTTGAAAACCATTCCAGTTTATTATTTTCTGCTGCTCTAAAAAAATAAAATGAAATTACATATACATGTATACAAAAATTAAAAGACATTACTGGAAAGAAAACCCCTGTCTCCGTTATTTCTAAACAAAGAGGGGGGCAAACCCGACTGCGGGTAACTAGTTCTCGCTGTTATTTCAGTGCACCTGTAAGATAAAACAGAAATTCCCCGACTGGATTCTCATAAGACAAATGTTGCTTTGTGCTGTTTAAGACTGCGTTTCAATCATTAATGAAGCCTCTCTGAGAACGCAGAGGGCAGCATATGGATTCAATAAAATATGTTTTTGTAATTTCTAATAAGTTCAGATACTTTTATGCTGCCCAGGTTTTTACCATGTGTATCCACTGGGAAGGGGGAAAGTTTCCCCTCAAGAGGACGCGGCGCTCCCAGAGCTCACCCTAACGAACAGGAAACCCGGAACGCCGAATGCCCCCGGTGCCCGTCTAACATTGCCCCCTCCTAAATCTGGAGGATGATCCCGGTTTCTGCCCGCTT